TTATGCTATGAGTGTCTCTGTCAACCTTACTGAACACACTGTGTGTGAAAATGAGACCCAAACCACACTCTCACAATCAGATTGCTGTGGATGGACCAGCACAAAATCTGAGTCCAATAGAACAGATAAATATGCCTGAAAAATTCCTGGGCAATAATGCCTGTCATAAGCTTTTTTTTCTATCTGTTCCCATGTATATATACAAGGAACTACCATGCATGACAACTACCATGCATAATCTTTCATTTAGATTACAAGTACTTTGAGGAAGGGATCGTCTCTTTGCTCTGCAGTTGGACTGGACGTAGCAAAGAGGGGCTTTGTCTTAAACTGCACCTCTAGCTAACAAATATACCAGTATACCAGTAAGCTGAACAGGCACAGAGCATGGATGTGAATGCTACTATCTAGGCTTCAGATCTTTGTAATATTCAAGTAATTATTTCTTTCCAGTTCTTGGGTGCAGAAAGGCAAATCCCTCCTGCTATAAACCTACTTCTACTGGCAGTTCAAGCTAGGGATGCTCCATCTGTGCCGTGTCCTTCCCAAGGTCCAGCTGAGCAGGAGACCCAGGGCAGAAAGCAATGCAGCTGGAGCATCAGTATGCTCTACCAGGCTTCAGTGGACCCTGGTTTCTTTGGAGCTGGCTGTCAGCCTCCAGAAGTTAAATTAGTTTCAAGGAGCTCAGGGCTGCAGTTTGCTGACTCAGCCCCCAACAGATACACAGCTCCAAATGATAAAAACGACAGAGATCAGCTGTCTCAGAACAGGGAATCTGTGACCAAGCAAGATTCATCATAAAGCTGTGATTTCTGTCAGTAGCTAGTGTGGGTCAGTGTAACCCCAGACTACATGGTGCCAGCTCTTCTGATTTCACTTTCTTCACCTTCCTCTCAAATAAATCTGCTTCTACAGAAACCTCATGCATGTCTGGTGCACAACCAACATCCAACAAATTGTCCCGTTGCAGTACTGAGTCTCTGGAATCACAAAAATCCTTCCCAACCTGGCTGAGGGACACATGCAGGTATTTTCTCAAATGAACAGGCACAGCAGTGCATCTGTATACTCTGAAGGTAAAAAATGGACAAGTGAAAGCCCTTCTCTTAAGAACACCAAGATCCATAGATTTGTAGAATGGTTTGTGTTGGAATGGACCTTAAAGACCACCTAGTTCCACCCCCACTGCCATGGTCAGAGATACCTTCCACTAGTCCAGGTTGCTCAAAGCCCCATGAAACTTGACCTTGAGTCCTGTGAGGTCTTCTAAAAATTACCTTGAACTGTTTAAGACCATACAGACTAAAATTTATCGGGGCAGAAAATTATGTCAGACATCCCAGATTTCTGGTCCTAGCCTCACTGCTGATTTAGCAGATAGCATTAGGTACATCTCTTGACCTTCCTAGGCCAGCAAACCAGCCTGTAAAAGGGAGATTGCCTTCCTTACTGATTGTTATAGTATTTATTAAATACTATTTGTAAAACACTGTCAAAATCATGTAAAGAATCATTGCTATTACAGTTTCCATTATCTTTTTTATGTTTCTGAGTATTTTTTTTAATAGAGCATGACTCTTCGCATCAGCCTTTTCATGGTGCACTTTTCATGTGATTGAGTCACTTTGTTTTAAGCAGTTGATGCTGTTAAGCACGAAGCAGGTTCTCATGACCTGCAGTAGCAGGCTGCATACATTCCCGGTCCAGAGCAGTGCACAGTCATACAGGGTCATCTGGACCATCTTCAGTGTCATTCTGGTTTGGAGGATAAATGGGAGCACTCATGCAAACTCAGTGGCTTTATTATTTGGTATATGCACCATGGGAATATCTGTTCTTGAAAACGTGCACTGAATTGCCTTAAATTGATTTAGTAAATCAGTTTAGTGATAGCAGGGCAATATCTTGGGTTTTAAAGTAAGGGAATTTAAAGATACAATTGCATCAGTTTAGGTAGATTGGTTCCTAAGCTGATTTTGTTTCTCCAGGTTTGTTTTTTTTGGGTGGGTTTGGTTTTTTTTACAAATGAGTTTCAAAATGAGCAAGTAAAATTTCAGTTTTAGAATTACAGCGACCTGAATTTTTCACCCCTGTAAGTGGGTTCACTGTATTCCAGGTCTCTCCTATTACATTGCTCAGATATAGCCTTATATAGTGAAATCCTCATCCTGTTTAAGTCACATTACTTAGTCTGAGCAAAACTTTGATACCTTCAAGGCTTACATGTATTTTAGCCTAATTATTGAGACAGAGACTTTTTTCAGATAACAAGGCATGAAGATAAAACGACATCTCTCAAACTACTATGTTGTATGCATTTTTCTGTAAAGCAAAGTTAATAGATGGATCAAAGTATCAGTACTGGATTATAAACCACATTTTTAAATAAAGCTTTAAATTTGATTAAACTGGTAGTTTGTAGAGGCTTCAAGTCCTCAGTATTCCATGGTTGTAGGAATAATGTTAATAAAAGAACAAGAAAGTCTTCAGACTTTTTCCATATCACATTCAGCAGCTTTGGCATGGCTTTCTTAGAAAGATCAAATACATGAACTTTCAGAACAAAGAGATGGGAAAGGGTTACACTTTTGTGTGGGGTTTTTGTCTCTTGGACCAGCTTTGTAAATAAATAGATATATTCATCCTTCAGCCTGCCTCTCCAGAGTCTTTAAAGGAAAACAACAGTATGACTGTACAACAAGTATGATTTTTTTCAGAGTGATAAAAGATACATCAGAGATCAGCAGCAAAATCAGAAATAAAGTTATCTCATTCCTTCAATCCCAAGATGGTTTTCCTCTTGTTAAATTTAATTTCACTGAAGGAAACTGGGAGGTGTTTTCAGTTTGGATTTCTCGGGTTTTGGCTTTAGCTTTTGTTCAGTTCATCAAGATAACTTGAAAGCTGCACTCTGTGACTGGGAAAACCAGCTTATGAGCAACACCGCCTGCTGAAAAATACTGCATGGCTCTGTTTTCACAGCTGCTTGAGCCTGCCATGGAGGTGGTGCTCTCCCTTGTGCATCCTGTTTTGGGGATGCAGGAGAGGCCGGGATGTTTCCCCCCAGCTGGTTACCTATCCCTGACCCAGGCTCAGTGAAGCCAAAGGAGTGAAATGGAGGTGTTTGCAAATAAAGTCTCTTCCCACTTGCCTAAAAACTTGTTGATCATCATTTGTAATGTTTATTTCTTTCCTCCTGTTGCCCCGTTCACTGCCTGGATCCATGCAGAGCAAGCGTCTCCTGCCCAGCTGAAGGACTTGCCAAATGTTAATTGGCTGTTAAAAACATTCACATCAGAGTACAAACGTTGCACAGCTTTGCTGGCAGGGACCAGCAAGTTGCTTGTCAGGCTACTGCAAGTCAACCTCCATAGGTCTGGGAAGCTGATGCCCCAACTTCAGTGGGAGAATAAACATGGCTTTAGCTTTTTTAAATGCTTTCCACTTCCTCCCATGGACTCAATTTAACATTCTTTCATTAATAACCTTCTTTGCATAATTATATTTACTGAGTGGCTCCTCAGTCCATCAGCCATAAAATAAAAAAGGTCCTCCCAAACAACTTCTTGCCAAAGGTTTTATTTTTTTATGAAGAGTTCATACCCATTGTTTCTTCTCTGGTACTTTTGAAGCTGATCTGGAAGCCACACAATTAGGTGTTGAATAATAATTTTAAATGCTTTTTTTCATCTTCTACCTTGTATTTAGAAGGTGCATCACATCTGACTTTGGGCAATCAGGTTGTTTCAGAATCCAGTTCTCATGTACAGAGAAGCACTTAAGCTCACAGCTCTTTAAGCACATGTGCAGGTTCGCTGAAGCCAGCAAGCCTGTTCATGTGCTTAAAATCCAAGTGAGATTGTGATACAGCAGTGCCAAACACTGAAAGTGAGAAACAGGGATGGGAAAACTTTCTTTGCCTGAAGCACACATTTGGCATTGCAACCGAAGAGATATTGAGAAAAACACAAAGGAGGAAAAACAGGAGTTCTTCAATTTGTGTTGAAATCCTTTCCTTTCTCACTTAACACCTCTTTTTTTGGGTCTATACATCGTAAATTCATCCTGTGGTACTTGATAAAATCTCCATCTCTGACAAGATGTGAAGTTTAAATACAAAACTAAGAAAAACTCCAGAACCTTATCCCAACATCTTTACATCCAGAGGATGAATATTACCTTACCAAGGTAACATCTTTTCACACAGCTCTGGAGGGCCAACATAGTGTTATCCAACACTAACACAGGCAGAAAAGGCACTTGGCTGGAGAGAGCTAAGGGCAAAGTGACAGGCCACAGGCAGTGATTCATCTGCCCTGTTCTAAATGATTACAAGTCAAAGGAGATGATGTGCTGAGTGCCATGATACAGAGACTGCTTGCATGGCATGTATTTCTAGTATACTAGGCTCAGTCCTTGACTGGGCTCCTCATGTTCCCTGGATTGCATTAGGCATTAATCAGGTTAGCAGTGGTGCCAAGACAATTTATATGGGAGTGCGTCAGAGAAACTGCTTTCCAAATAGTTTATTTCATCATGTGAATTGATCCAATCTGTGACTGTGTTTGGATGATAAATACTTAAAAACAAAAGAAAATTAGTATGTGTGTTCAAGTGGCACTAGAAAAGCACTAACCACGATAAACATTTGTTTCAAAAGAGGATGGGTATGTTTTTAATATACATGAGGACAACTTGCAAAGAAGCTGAGCTTGTATTCCTGCCTCTGCCACTTGCTGTTACTCAGCTAAAGCCTATTTGGGCTGTAGGTTTTAGGCTCATAAAATGTAACTGATCATATTTCTTGCATTTATTTTTCTGGGAGTCCTTGCTAGGGAGTTGTTACAAACAGATGGGGTGGTGTTTGTGCTAACTTTTTATTCCCTCTCTTCAAACAGCTTTGATCTCGTTACCATTGGTGGAATCTCCATTATCCTGCACTTTGAACGGGCTCCCTTCATCACCCAGGAGCACACACTGTGGTTGCCATGGGATCGCTTCTTCGTGATGGAAACCATAGTCATGAGGCATGAAGAGAATGAAATCCCAAGCTGTGATCTCAGTAACTTCGCCCGGCCCAACCCTGTGGTCTCCCCATCTCCACTGACAGCTTTTGCAACTTCCTGCTCAGAGAAAGGTCCTATTGTTCCTGAAATCCAGGTATGAACTCTCTGAGCTGAGGAGACAAAAAACACGTAGAATTATAGACTCATAGAATGATTTGGGTTGGAAAGGACCTCAAAGATCATCTAGCTCCAACCCCCCTGCCATGGGCAGGAACATCTTCCACTAGATCAGGTGGACCAAAGCCCCATCCAACCTGACCTTGAACACTTCCAGGGATTGGGGAATCCACAGCTTCTCTGGGCTACCTGTTCCTGTGCCTCGCCACTCTCCTTTCTGTGCTTCTGCTTCTGTTGCAACACTAATGCAACTATTCACCTGCTTTCCTAAGCATACCCTGTTTGCTACACCATTTTTCAGACATTTAGCAAGAGCACTCACTTCGCCAGAAGGTTTCTTTTCCCTTATCCCTGAGGGATGGAGGCAACACACATGTTGCTGACAGAAAAGAAAACCTACGTTAGCTCTGCTTTGCTTTCACCTCCCATCAGCAGGAGGTGGGCTGGGTCCCTTGTTAGCCCTTTGGCCAGGCTGATGAACCACTTCTGCTCTAATGCCTTTCTTCTGTTCAGAATTAAATTCCACGCAGTAGGCATTACAGACCTCAGTGGTGGAGTGTTGGGGTGAACTTTTTCATGGTTGGAAGTCATACCCCTCACTCTACAAAGCTGATGGGACATGCAGTCAAGCCAGCAGATGGCTGGCAAAGGGCCAGTCTGCAGAGCACCTCAGTTTTATTGTACTTCATGGCCTTTGCAATAAATGAGCAAAGTGAGAGGGTTACCTTTAATTTCTCATCCCCATTTTCTTTTTTTTAAAGAACTGTGAGTTGGATAAGGTAGTTTAATAATCTCCTGTGGCTTCAATGTATTTTGCCAAATGGAAAGTTTGTTTTTAAACTGAATAGTTTAAAGAACCAAATTATCCATTTTCCTTAAAAACACTCACTCTTTCAAAATATATGGATGTAGAAGCATTCAAGCTTTACTTTCTTGAGCATGTTGTTCCCTGGGTTTTAGATGCCAGTATTCAGCATGTCCTGGGTATTGCTTTTTAATGAAAAATAATAATATGCCATGGTGGAAACAGTAACAAGTGTAGGGACAAATTGTGTGCTTCCTGTGTGACTCCATTGGGGTTGCAGTACCATTAATGAGGAAAGTAATTTTATATCTTCTAATTGTAATAAACCAGGTGCTGAACCCAGTAACAAATAAAGCTAGTGGTTTCTTTACCTTTCCCTCTGGACCAAATCTTATGATCCTTTCTCACACTAATTTCCAATTACAGTCACTGCGTTTGTCCCAGCATAATTGCTAATTAAGTCCCATATTTTGTAAAGTCCATCATATTGCAAATTCGTTGTTCAGTTTTCACATATCTTTTTTTGGTAAACCAACAAACACCATGAAAGGTAATGTTTAGTGCTGCCTGGGAAAGAAGAAAATATCTGATACTGCACAACTATGATCATAACCTCACTCATTATTTGGTAGGATACTTGTTAGATTGTGTTAATTATATCTATTGAACTAAAAAGTTCTAAAATTCATCTTCAATAAAAGCACGTCTGTCTCTTGAGTGTGAGAGAAGCCAGAGATGTTGTTCGTAAGCAATGGTTTGATACAGTTTCTTGACTATAGGTCATAGAATGGTTTGGGTTGGAAGGCACCTTTAAAGGGTCATCTAGCCCAACCCCCCTGCCATGGCCAGGAACACCTCCCATTAGACCAGGTTCCTCAGAGCCCCATCCAACTTGATTTTGAATGTTTCCAGGGGTGGAGCATCTACCACCTCTCTAGTGCTAATGTTTTGCCACCCTCATTATAGCTGCTTAATGCCATTTGAAATGTCTAGCAGGTATCCTGCTTGACTTCCAACTGCCAATCCAGAATGATCCCTCTATCAGTGTCCTGAATTAGATCTGCCAAACCCTTGTGAATGTCAGATCACTTGGATATTCCAAGTTGGACTAGACACCTGTAGTTATGGAGTCTAATACCTAAGAAGGATTTGTTTTGAGATTTTAACACCTAAATAAGGTGTTTACATGCAGTTGTCTGGATATGTGCTAGATGTCTCATTAAAGCTGACAGAAATCTAATCAGTACCATCAGTGGAGCTTACAGATCTGTTAAACTGACCATCTTGAAGCTTTCTGGTTCCCACTGATGGTATAAGTTGGATTTCCACTGACTATAATTGGATGTTCACATGCCTGCCTCACATCAGCATATTTATAAGTTAACATCTGGATTTAGGTGCCTTATGCTGGAGTTGAATTCCACTCTTAAGTTTACATGGCAACACAAAACTTCCAAAGAGCCTATCTCTGCTGTTTGCTGTGGGGAGACCTAAAAGAGTAGTTCAGAGGAGACTCCTAATTTTAGGCTCCTAAGTTAAGATAAAAGGAATCCCTTATATGGTAAGCAGTACTTTTCCTATGTGCCAAATGATTGAGCTAAAACCTGTAAACCAGTATTCCACCTCAGATATTGATAGCTGAAGGTTAACAGAGGTTGTGGTACAGAAGTTTACAAGATACTGTGATTTATGGCAAAGTCCTGACTGTACTTCAGTTCATAGATGGACTACTTTTTGGTTTTGTACTGGATATATATACAATAAAAAAATAACCTAGCTGTCATTTCCTGCAGCTGCATTTTATAGTACACAGTTCTCAGTGGAGAAATGTTAAATATAAAAGGTGTGAGCACATAGCTGGGAGGAGGTGACAAGCAGATGGCAGGGCTGGGAAAGAGGTTTTGACAAGTGGGCAGATAGGAACATCATGAACTCCAACAAATAAATGCAGTGCTTTCTACCTGGATGCATTCAAAAGACCAAATAATGCATTTTTAATGTTTGGTTCAGGTGCCTATAGACAGATTTAGTGCCATTTATCATGCCCCAAAGTGTCCCTTCAGGCCTCCAGCTGTAGCTTCAGAAAGGCAGAGATCTCAAGAAGCTCCATGTCAGAGCTGTCATCCCCTTGCAGAGGTTTTGGATACCATAGAGCATCTCAAAATCACTAGATGTCTATGTTAAGGCCCCTGAATCAGGCCCTAAATGCTTTTCTTTCTCAAAATTCCCTCTGAGCATCATATTTAAAAAACCCCAGACATTGACTATTCCTTGCCTTGTCTGCTGGCAGACTGAAGAGCAGCTGTAAGAGACATGTAATTCAGCACACAGAAACAAGATTTCCTACATCATCTCATGCAAAGAGTAGAATTGCTACTAACACCAGAATAGATCAATACCACAGAGCAAAGGGAAGATGGCAGCGAAAATTGCAAAATTATGTAAATGCCTAGTAAGCCTGAAGAACCAGCTCCTCTGCCTGCCCAGCCTGGTGGCTGACCCCTTTAAAAGAGCAGATTATATTGGTTAGGCTGGGATAAATACTTGAGAGTCTTTCACAAGGGCCACAGATACAGCATATGAATATATCTGGGCCAAACAGCAATTATCAGATAGAAATAAGGGCACAATTCAGCTCTCGTTGCTTTTAGTACATTCAGATTATTATAAACCTTGTTTTTCCCCTGTTCTCCCACTGACATCACACTGGATTATAGTCCCCCCACCAATGCCCTGCTTTATTGCTAGTTTTTCACTACTTACAAACTACAAATGCATTTTGGATAATCTGAATTACTGCTTGAACCTTCTCTTCAAGCAGACACCTTTAAACACAGCCCCTTGTGCTGCTCAGTGCCTCGGTAGCACTGGGCTGACCCTTTGTTTGGAGCGGTAGACAGCAGAGATAGATCATGGCTGAGAGAAATAATTATTTCTGACAGGGATCTGAACCAGACTTTCCAAATGGTACCTCTGTGACAATTATTTCTGCCTGAATTTTTTCTAGTGGGGTTACATATGAAGACAGATTTGATACAAGGGACCACCTTTACTGTAGTTTGGCTCTGCTTGTCTCTGGCTGAGCCTGGTCCCAGTCCAGCTTGCTGCTGATCTCATAAAATATATTTTAAAAATCCTGGGTTTTCCCAATTCTGTCATATTTCAGCCTCTTAAGCACTAAGATATGTAAATTAAAAAGGCTGCATTAGAGAAAGTAAATATTTATGAGCACAGTGGAATGGGGCTTTAACTGCTGGATATGTCCATTTGTCAAGTGCTGCAATGCTCAGAGCCTGTAAGTTTTAACTTTGAAAAGTGTTGTGCCTTGGATAATAGTTCAGAAGAGCTGTTTTTGGAGGGCAGGTTACAAGATTTGTCATTATTGATAACACTAACCAGAAAACCTGTAAGAGATGAGCCATATCATGCTGCTCCCATGTAGGAGAAACTGGGTACAGGAGCGAAGGACACCAGGATGATAGAACCATAGAATATCCTGAGTTGGAAGGGACCCACAAGGATTATTAAATCCAACTCCTGACCTTGTACAGGACAATACCAAGAATTACACCATGATGGATGTGATCTCTTCCTCATGGGTGGATCTCTTGACCCACCTGCCTTCAAGCTTCCATGCCCTTAATATTTGGAAAGCTGATTATTGCTAGGGAAGTATTTTCACAGCTCATTTAGGGTCCAGCACACTGAAGAACTTCAGAAGTGGTGCGGAAGAAAACAGTGCCAGCTGTGACCTTCTGACACATCCCATTAGCAGACCAAGCTTTCCAGCTCACTGCTACGCTACTACCTTCAATTTTCAATTGAAGGTTGCTGGTTTGTGCTGAAAAGGTCCATGCTGAGTGCTGCCATGGCTTAACCTCAGTCAGCCACCAAGCCCCACACAGCCACTCTCTTACTCTCCCGCCAGCAGGACTGGGGAGAGAATTGGAAGGGTAAAAACTGGAAAACTCATGGGTTGAGATAAAGACAGTTTAGTAC